CTGTCCCCTGAGTTCTTAGACTCTACTGTCCCCTGAGTTCTTAGACTATACTGTCCCATGAGTTCTTAGACTCTACTGTCCCCTGAGTTCTTAGACTCTGCCGATCCCTGAGTCCTTAGACTCTGCCTTCTTAGTTGTGTTCATGGAGATTGGACTGAAGAGATCCTTAAATTACTTCTTCTATCATTCAATAACATCCTCAGTCTAGGTCTTCAGTTACCCACTCAAACCTAGCACATCCTGTGAAAGGCCTGTCTTTCCCTTTCTGAGTCATCAAAGGGTTTGCCTAGACCTCTGTGAGGACAAATTAAAGTCTTTCTTTATGGCTGCTCTGAATTCCTCCCACACTTGAGCTTTTGTTTCTGCAACCATAGAAGCTGCAGTCCATCTGACCATCCTGTACCTGCTATCTGCTTCAGGAGTCCTCTGGACAGCCTAGACCCCTTCTTCAGCCTCCATTACCACCGGTGTCCAACAGTTGGTATTCTGGTAGTTGGTACAAAAGGCACCAACAACATTTTGGCCACAGCTCCTGGAAGCTGTGTCTGCAATAACATAGCTCATGTGGACACTATGTACTCAACTTTTCTTCAGGTCTTGCAAAAGTCTCTTGGAGGTATGATATGAAGATCTCATGAACAGGGACCTCCACCCGATGTTTTCAGTTCACAGTCACTACTTGTTAGGGTTTTAAAAAGCTGTCCAGCAGTCTCCCCTTCCACTTTCCACCAGGTGGTTATTTGCTCCTCTCTTTCCACGAGTGTCCACGACAAAAGACTGCAGTTCTGATGATACGATAGCAACAGTGATCGTCATCTTTTGGCCCAATATGGCCTGGTACAAAGTATACTGAAGGACCACCTCATACTCAGACATAGGCTTCTTTATTGTTAGTCCATACCTAGCACAGAAAGGGAAACCCAGGGACCTCCATGGGACTCAATCGTTGTTCACATTGGCGTAGAAGTCCCCTAGGTGCACAATGCAATCCCTGTAAGGCTTCGTTTCCTGGACACGAATATGAAGATTTTTCAGAGGAGCTGATCATGAATTATAAGCTTCTTCACTTTTACCAAACTGAATAAAACAAAACAAAAATACCCCAAATACCAAAGAAGCAGCCTGAAGCTTGGGGTAGACAGAGAGAAATAGTTATGTGAGATATCTTGAATAGCAATCAGGAGAAAAGGTTTTGAGTGTAGCCAGTTCTCCTGACCCTCCACAACTTCTGACGCCTGGAGAAAAAAACCTCATCAGGTGACTGAGCATATGGGAGTGGTTGCTACACCAATCAGAGTAACAAAAGACCATTCTGTTTTAATGTACTGAGTAGTCTACAGAGATCAGAAAATTGTGGCTCAGTCTTTAACATGATTACCAGTAAATTAACTCTCATTGTTGTGAACCCCAGAAAAAATACATTGTGTAGTATCAAAATTACACTTTTTTATTGTTGTATTACATAAACTGTTATTCATGCATTCATTTCATTTCATGGACTACTGTAAGTCCTTGTTTGCTTCTCTTGACCTCCTTGGGTGATCTCCAGGTAGTCCAGAATGCTTGTGCAAGGCTTTGGACTCTAAACCCCCACTCTGCTGACTTTCTTACACTGGCTCCCCATTAAATTCCTGTCTTAGTGTTTAGTGGTGACTCTGGAGGCCAAGGTGTAAGTAGAAGAGCGCATGTCCATGTCTTTGTTATCATGGATTCTGCTGCTAGAGCTTGGTCTGTTTCCAGCTTTTAGACACTGTCTGCATCTCTAGAATTCTAGAATCTAGTTCTAGAAC